CGTGTGCTCTTCCGATCTCACCCCCACCCCGAAAGTACTCGAAGATAAGATCTTAAAGATGACATTCTTTTGCAGATGACGAATTAACGTGTCCTCAGTGCAATCGTTCATTCCACCATAAGAATAGCTTAGTTTATCACATGCGATCTCACAGCGGGGAACGGCCGCATCAGTGCGATATCTGTAGTAAACGTTTCTTTGCCGCCAGCGCGTTGAAAGTAAGCACTGTAATCAGACTTTACAAAGTGTAAATTTTAAGCGTATGTCTTAATTATTGCACAAGAGAGATTACTAATGTTTATATTTAATAATTTGTAATTTCAAGCGACTAATATATTTCGCAGTTATAAATGTTCTGCGGTGCAGCGATCAGACAATTTAATTTTATTATTAGGAATAAAAGAAATCTAATCATTTTGTCGCTACGAACAGGTACACAAGAGACTTCACAGCGGCGACAAGCCGTACAAGTGCGAGGAATGCGGGCGGCACTTCCGGCAGTGGGGCGACTTGAAGTATCACTCGACGAGTATCCACTCGGAGCACAAGCAGTACCAGTGCGAGTACTGCGCCAAGGAGTTCGCCCGGAAGTACTCGCTGATCGTGCACAGGCGCATCCACACCGGCGAGAAGAACTACCGCTGCGAGTTCTGCAACAAGACGTTCCGCGCGAGCAGTTACTTGCAGAATCACCGTCGCATACACACCGGCGAGAAGCCGCATCCGTGCGAGATGTGCGGCAAGCCGTTCCGCGTGCGGAGCGACATGAAGAGGCACATGCACACGCACTCCCGCACGAAGACGAATGACAAGCAGCCGTTGAACAGAATCCTGACGGGGAAGAACGGAGCGGAGGAGGCGACGATGGAGGTGGCCGACAAGGGGGCGCAGGCGAAAACGATTCAGGATTTCGTGAGAGACCTGAAACTGGAGGTCGAAGCGACGGGTGTTGTGGAGATCGTCCCGCCGGATGACAATCCGGAGAGCATTTTGCCGCATACTGGTGGACAGACCTTAGAATATACCGTGCCGTCTACGGCGGACGCTGTAAATGCGGACAGAGATCCTCTGGAAGCGGTTGTGCGACCTGACAGCATGTGAGTAAAATCAATTGTGTATCCTCGATCGGCAGTCAAATATCTTTTTCAATTAATCTATTGTGTTTTTGTGTGTTTTGCAGGCAATATTTCTTTATGTAATCGTGAAAATCTCAAGAGAAGAAAGTGTATTCCACAGCACAAGGATAATTATTTATGAAGAAATATTGGTACTCAAACGGTCTGTAATGCAAATATCATGTTTCATAAAAATGACTTTTAGTAGCATTGGACTGATATTCGAAGCGATAATAGTTTCATTTTTAAATAAAAATGACTTACGTGCATAATTTTATATAAATAAAATCGAAAAGCTTTGCTTGTTCGAAAGCAAACAACCGGAGATAAATCTAAGATTTGATAAGTAAATCGCATGCACACACTGCCTATAAATAATGTGTAACATACTTTTCAGTTTCTAAGAGGGAGTAAGTAATTTGTGTGACATCAAGTAGAAAACTAGATTTTGCAACAGTCCTAAGATTTTCATGAGGAAAATGTCATTTATATATAAATACTCTATATATATATATATATATATATATATATATATATATATATATGTATGTATGTATACATACACGTACGCATCATACTGTAATTAACACTAAAATTGTACATTTTTAAGATTAGGATTATACAATTGTGTAATTGTACAATTTAGCGGTATATGTACATATACATATATATATATATATATATATATAACCGCTAAATGGACAATATATATATACATTGTGAATTAACGTTAAAAAATATATTTTTTACTTGAACATGTTTATAGAATACATTGGTCCACTTCATTCGCAATCTCCGAACGTCTAGATAGCCGCTGGTATTATAGTCGGCATGCTCATGTCGGCTTTGCTAATGAAAACTTGCAAGATAGTAGCCAAATCCCTGGATGCGAGGGCGTCTTTGAGCTTCGTCGTAGCCTCCGTGCCGCTAATTCTGCTTACACGAACGGTACCGTTAGAATCTGTCAGGCCACATTACGTGAGTCCTTATCTTTACCTTCGAGATCGCTTCGCTCGTTCCCAATCTACGTATAAGTCGGTGATGATAGCGTGCAGCCTGTTCAGGATTTCGGTGTCCTTCGCCATAAGCGATCTGATCTCCGTCTCCTTCTCCAGCAACTCCTGATACTCGGAGCACAAGTTCTCCCTCGGATTGGACTGGAGTTCCCACTCTTCGAGAGCGTCCAGAATCTTTATCTTTTGAATTAAATCGTAGGCTGCGCTCAATCGCGGAAGTATTAACTCCAAGACCCTAGATACGCTTCCGTCCGCCACCTCTGCGTAATAAGATTTACATTTGCGACTTCGAAGAGAAGTGTAACGCTCGTCGATATTCAATAATTACCGCAGAATACGTCTAGCTTTATCTTTCGTTTCGTCGCCTCCTTCGTTAAGATATCTCTGAGAATTATGACGGTGGATATATTCTCGCCCAGAAAAAGCGCGCTCCCTTTCCTGCGGTTCACCAGAAGATTAATGTCGGGTTCCGATTTTACATTGCACAAACTTACTTATATTTGCATTTGAGGACCGTGCCGATGAAGGACGAGGCATATATTAAAACAGCTTCGCCCTCGTGAATGTGAGGCCTCTCGGGCACGTCCGGTAATGCCAGAGACAGCCATGCGTGCATCTGAAAAGGAAATACACGAGGAACATGAAGGATCATTTCTCCCGCGACGAGATTGACAAGGGTAAAAAGAAAAAGTGTAACCTCGGCAACGGTGAAATTTCCGTTTAGTTTCAATTCATTAAACGGACCGCTGGACGTCGTGTTGTCATCTTCGTGTTGCCTGACGTGCAGAGATAAGGCGTAAATGGGAACTATGATTTTACGGCAACGCTTCGGCTGTACCTGGGAATTATTATAAATATTAACGTGACGCAAGTATATCTCGGATTCGGAAAAGCGACGTGTAATAAAATAAATACCTGGGACGTTACGTAGATCTGCAAGGTGCCCGGCTGGCCTTCGATGAACCTTAGTCGCATTTCCAGACGATTTGTATTGATCTATTTACAAAAGCGATTTCTCGTGAGGCTTACACTTTTAGAGATACTGTTAAAGTTCAAAGAGATTATATCGTTTCAGAGAATTGCATTTGAGTACTTGGCATCGATAAGTAGCAAGGACGAAATTGCTCTCTCTAGGATCGCAAGCGGACAGGCTGACCACTGCGCTATTATTCTCCGTCTCCAACAGATTGACGGGCGTGTCGGATTGTATCAGAATATTGTCGATCGACGCGTCCAGTTCCACGGACAGAGAATATGAAGCGTCTTCTTTGTGCAGTACCATCCTGCGAATCACATTTAATTGTTTAATTGATTTTAATTCTTGCAATTTCAGTCCTCGTATTTGTAAAATGTAAGAAATAATTTTTGCTGCGGTTACTTATGATTCACTGCCAGTATCGAGGGTGCTAGAGGATCTGGCATGAAATTGGCCGACTCCTTCTCCTCGTTGAGCTTCTCCTGCAACTGGTGTATCTCCAGCTTCAGCCTGGCCAATCCGACGTCGCTCTGTCCCGCTTCCAGTAGACCAGGAGGACTGGTGGTCAATCCGAATACTCGGCCGGAGTAAGTCGTGACGAGAACCTCGGGGTAATTGGCGACGCCGATTATCCCACCCACGACTGTACTAATACTCTCGCCGGCGTTCTGTAACGATTTATTTTCTAAACCGGTGTGATTTAACCGAGACTCGATGGGAACTGTAATACGGTCACGATCACTCACGTAGTGATAGCGTAGAATGGACGACACGTCCTCGTCGGGAAATGTGTACACCTCGACGATTCCGTCCTGCCGGCCAACGAGGATGTCTATACCGTCCTGTAACTGATGAGTATCCAACGAAGTGATTCCCGAGCCCGTCGAAGTCAGCAGCCAGGTGATCCGGAGAGTTTTGTTGCCTTGGAGGATCAGCAGTCCGACCCTACCGTCCGCCGTACCGACCAGAACGCGGTCCCTCGAGTATATCTCTCCCTCTCTGAAGCGAGGCGAGTAATGTGAAATAATTCACTCGACATGCCGCGTGTGAAATTATCAAGAATACCTGTATATGGAAAGCACCATAGGAGCGCTCGGCAATCTTAGGACCGTTGGACTTCTTGTGCCATGCAAGACGCGCACCTGGAAAGCAGATCAGCCTGCATCAATGAATCAACTCCGAAAAATAATAAACTCCATATTCAAATCTCTCTGTAAGTTTTTGGTAAAAAAAAAAAAGAAATGAAATGAGATTTAAATCCATCGCAGAAACTTTATAAAAATGAAAAAATACTTCGGATAAAATCGCGAGAATATGAATTAATTTTCAAGATATGGAATTAACTAATCGACTGGTTGTTTTTTTAAAGGTATAGTTTTCTTAACCGGAACTACTGCATTTCTCGATTGGAGCCTGAGAGACGATGCTTTCCCAACGAGTCACAGTTTGATGAAATTACGCGATATCTTACCGCGCAATCTGCACAAGCTAGAATAGCGTATACCACGTTGCCGTCTGCGGGCAGGAGCACGACGTCGTGCAGGGTTTCTCCGGCCAGATACGAATCGGCATCCTTGCAGTCTCTGTATCGGTGATAAAGATCACGCGCGCATGCCGCGAGATCAGGACCGAGGACGTGCCTGCATGGAACATTTCGTAATAATTAATACGGTAACGGGTCGTAAACACGTCGAAGATACCCGATCACGTAGAATTATTGAGTTGAAAGTGAGTGAGCTTACATCGCGGAAATCGGATCTATTAGGTTGGTGTCGAACTCTAAGAACAGCTTGCCCTTTCTCGTGAATCCCTTCACGGAGCTGTCGTACGCGAGGAAAATCTTGTCCCTCACCATACCTATCGAGCCACCGAGGACCATTTTCTGGATTTTTGGGCCGGGCAGGGATTTAAACGACAGTTGCAGCTCCCCCTTTTTCATGCCTGTCCGAGGAAGAATTTTGTGATTTTGTGTATTTCTCAAATATTCAGACGCCTCATAATATTTCGATATTAATATCGAAACTTTAGAAGATAATTGCGACATTAAATCGCTTAATTTAGCGTCTCTTGATTAATTGCGATATCAGAATAATATCAATCAGTTATGAATGAATATTAATTAAAGATTCGTATATAATAATATTAATTAATCGTTTATTTATTTATTACTATGAATTTTATTGGGCTACTCTCGTACTGTATAGATACATATTTATAAGTACCATAAATATGCAGCACACCGTCGTGATCTGCAACGGCGAACTTTTGCGGCTGCCTCGTCGCGTTCTCATTAGGCGGAAATATGATAGTTGTGCCACGTGAGGTGACTCCCACCGTCGTGTAATCTATCCTCGATAGCGCCAACGTCATCGCTCGGTTTCATCGATCAGTTGATTTAATTTATATAGAATCGTTTCGTCGACGAAGTCGACTTCACTCAAATTATTATCGTTTACCGAATCGCCCCAAAATATCAAATGTCTCGCTTAATTGGTCAATTTCGTAAGTCCTGCGGAGTCTCGGCGCAAAGTGCCTCGGCGACATTCGGGGCACCGATGGTAAAATAATGCGATCAATATTTAAAACCATGACGACGCGCGGCACAACAAACCGGTTTTCCGAAATCCTCGTAAAAATTGAGAAGTCCCTCAATACCGGACGCGATGTTTCTCGGCGAAATTTTATCTCATACGTGTGAATCGAGCTCGAATAATAATTATACCCCGCGCGTGTAATTGCGGATTTGAAATTGAATCAAGGTGCAAATTGATTTGACTCTGAAGAATCGAGAGGTATCGATCACGGAAGGTGGTACATCTCGATATCCTCGATGACGAGTCGAGAGTCAATCGAGAGCGTGCCTGATTGTTATTGAAATGCTCGGGTAGGAGGCATCGAAACGTTCGCTGGGAATTGGAAAACAATTGTTGTAATGCATCCAGAAGTTGCGCGGCCTGCCGTGGTTTCGTATGACACTTCGACGAGTGTTGGATAGACGTTGAATAACGAAGCTGCCACGCTAGAGCAACAGCTTGAGGAGACCTAACCTAGCTATGAGCAACAAGACCAACACAAACGGTGAGTCGTAACTCTGTATAACTTCTTCGATTTTATTCCTCTGATCGGCTTTCAAGCGACAAATTTACACCGGGACGTCTCACGCGAGGAAAGAAATGTTCGCGCAGGGGAGATAGATCCCGTGCAGGAGCAGCTGACTGGCCGTGTGCGGGAGGTCGGGAACTACGCGATCTGGAGCCTGTCCAGCTGCAAGCCGGGCTTCGGCGTGGACCAGCTGCGCGACGACATCACGGAAACGTACTGGCAGTCGGACGGGCAGCTGCCTCACCTGGTGAACATACAGTTCAAGAGGAAGACGACCATTCGTGACATATGCATCTACACGGATTACAAGCTGGACGAGAGCTACACTCCCAACAGGTAGAGAGATACCCTCCGTTCGCTCGGAGACACCAGCGATCGTCGTTGGCTGTTATTAACGTGACATTTCTTTTCCGGCCGATTGAACAGGATAAGCATCAGAGCTGGGACCAACTTCAACGACCTGCAGGAGGTGGAGGTGATGGACTTGAACGAGCCGAGCGGATGGATAGTGATCCCCATTAAGAACATCAACGATCGGCCCATTAGGACATTCATGATTCAGATAGCGGTAATCAGCAATCATCAAAACGGCAGGGACACCCACATGAGGCAGATCAAGATCCACAGCCCAGCGCAGGATATTCTCGGCCCGCCGGCGCCTTACATCCCGGGGCAATTTCTCACGAATGAATTTTTACGCTACGCCACTATTAGATGAAGATTTGTAAATTAAACTTCCTGAGCATAGACATATATATAGATATATATAAAATAAAATTTTATTATCAACATTCAATTCAACATATTCGTAAACGCTTCCATTTTCAATCTCTTTTATTTCATTGTTTTGCAATCTACTTGTTTTTGTTAGGAATAAATTGATCTATTTCATCAAGGAGTAAATGACAAATTCTGAGACACCTTGTATATGTAGCTGTTACAGAATGGAAACATTACTGCGGAATTCGGAAGGGTAGGAACTGTGTACAGAAAAAACTGTAAACACAAGTGTTATTGGATAGCAAACCCATGTTGTGGCTCAGTCGTGATCGGTCGCTCGAGAGGCTTTGTGTGAATATGTTACGAGAGCTCCTCCTCCTGATTTTCACGTTAATATGTGTGACACGGTGCGAACGTTCCCCATCTTATTCAACGGAAAACTTGTACGCGATACTCGATCGCACGACAGAATACTTCAAAAATCTCAGTGATGGTAAAATATTAATCGCCTTGCATACGAAAGTAAAACCCCCAGATGTAAAAAAACAATCATTTTAATTTATGAAACATTCGGCATTTTTAGCGTACGGTATATCGAATAGTGAGACTTCGAGTGATATTAACAATGAAATTGCGAAATATATGAACGATACGACCAAAATACTTCGGGGAAGCAAGCGTGGAAAGAGAAATCTTCAGAATGAGCCCGATAAAGGTGAGCAAAAAATTTCACACGTATGCACACACTTGTGAAAATTCCGCGTGATTGAAAGAAATTGATAGGACAAAGTACCCTTAACACTAACACTTCTGCTTTTATACAATTCTGTGCGATTGACTGAAAGAAATTGATTTGGACAAAGTTTGATTGGACACTTGACAATTAACACTTCCGCTTTTGTACAATTACATCAGTCGGAAAGCTTGCTAAATTTTCCTTCTATTCCGAAAAGCTCCTTGAACGCGTGCTGGCAATCGTGATCGGTTAGGTACTTGAGAAGCTGACCCATGTCGTTGTGACGCTCAGTGGTGGGAAAGGAGACCTCTTGAAAGTCCGCGAACTTGCGCGTGCCGTCCACGTCGCCGCAGTCCTCTTCCCTTTCCAATAATTTTACCAATATCCTGTGCCAGTTCATGGTTTTGATCTGCAAAAGAGTTGCGCGAATTGCGTGAAATATATCCTCTCGTTGAATTAAAATAAGATAACGGAGGGATCATTGTTGACCTTACTTTCTGCCAGCAGTACTCGCAATCCTCCAGGGTTCCCTCCATGCAAATGATTCCCGGCTTGCCGGCCAGGCAGAATCCCGTGATGGAGCTCTCCTTCGCCAAATTCGCCACGTCCCGCCGTTTGAACTTGCTGTATATGTGATGACTGTAGATCCAATATCTGGAGAAAACCACCGCGGCCCGATCGTCCGCCGTGCCGCTTTTACTCGCGTCGCTGCGCTTACCCGCTTGGCTACACGCGGAGGCTTCGAGATAGGTCTCGGCGTTGTCCTGCAGCCACGATATCAGCGTGTAGATGCAAGGCTCACCCGCCTCCTGAGCCTTGACGACAATCGAGAGCTCCTTGTTCAGCAGGCACTGCTGCGTTCTGTCCAAACAAGAGCCTCTCGCGTACACTTCGGGCTGCTCCTTCGGGTAGTTAGTTGGTAGGCTTACCAGCAGCTCAACGTTCTCCTAAATGGCGTAAACAACACCGTTAATGGCATTGGCATACGTAGAGGAAAAATAATTTGAAGAACGTGCAGTAAGCAGTTATAAAGACATCATGACAAGGTTATATTACAAGTAAATAAATGTTACATTACACCGTTCAACGGGACTGCGATGGCGTATTCCAGCCATCGCGGTGGCTCCCGGTCGGGGCACTCGATGTACTCGTTGATGTCAGCCAAAACCCCATGGTCCGCCACGGTCAGTTCGGTCGGGTAGACGGACTGCAGTGCCTGCAGCTCGTTCACCTGCGCCGTCAGACTCTCCGTCACCTCCGTAGACATGCCTCGAACGACGACACATACGACAGGACGACGAGTCGGTCCGCGTCTCGCTATGCTCAGTTTTCGACGACGGTCGAATCGATCCAGACGATAGCACGAAGCAAAATATTGGCGTATATCGTCCAGACGTTGAGGTTATCGAGAGATCAGCTGATGTTGACATTTTCGTGTAGGAAGTCCGCACGGCTGCGCTTCGAAATCGGAGCACGTTGTCTCTTGCGTCTTATAATTTTTTATCTTAATTCATGCTTTGTTGTATTTTTTTATTAATTTATTTTGACTTTATTTATGTAAATTGTTCATATTCTATCAAATTTTTGAATTTATTGGCGTGAATAAAGCTATTTTTAAGGAAAAGATGTTTGAAATTTCAAGATATTTAAGAATTAAATTAAAAAGTAGAATAATTTTGAAATCGCAAGAAATTTTTAAATGTAGAAATACTCATTTACAAAATATTATTTTTAGAATTTAATTCATGCAATATTAAAAGATTATTCCTGTATTAAATTTTTTTTATCTTTCTTGAATTCTACTACAGATATCTTTAAAAATGAATTTTAAACAGTGAATGCGTTTGATTGCAATTTTACTCTGAGCTCTGATTTTTTTCACAGGTGTGTACGTTCTGCAAAGTTTCAAAGAGGTCTTTTCCTTCGATTTGCCGGACTTTCAGGACACGACCTTCTTTTCCATACAAGATGAATATCAGTTGCTCTGGTTCGCAGCTGCCATCAATTCCTCAGACGTTCTGCTTTATCAATTGGTCGTACGTCGTAATCAACTACATTTTTATTTTATTGCCAAAAACGTAGGTAGGAAAAAAAAACGCTCTACGAAATTATATATTTTTCAGAATAATAAAGCGGAGCTCGTCGGAACGTATCCGCAGCCGGACGGAGAACGGATAATCGTACAAAATTATAGCGCCGGTACGCTTATAGTCGTGCAGAAGAAGTATACCGATGGAATCGTCATTCTGCACCTCGGCAAGAACGAAAACGGAACGTACGAATTGCAGTTCAAACAAGAGTTCGAAATTCCCGAAGTGGTGCATACGAATATCTGGCTCGAAATGAATCGGATGTATCTGGGAATCGCTTCGAAGAGGAAAATATTCATCTACGTCTGGCTCGGGGAGAATTTCGACAAGATCGACACGTTGCTCTACGGGGCGAGAAAACTCTTGCCCTTCCAGAGCAAGAGCTTCATGCACGTCGCCGTCGTGGGGTTCGAGGACACGAGGATATTCCGATTTTCCGTGCGTTCCAACAAATTCGTGGAGATGCAGCAGTTGCATTACGCCAGCGACGTCAGTTCGTTTCACTTCAAGGAGGGCCATTTCGAGGAGCGCTTTCTAGCTTTGGCCGGTAGCGAGTACACGGTCTTGTACAAGGAGATGTACGGTCGCTTCGTGCCGTTTCAGAGAATTGCTCCAGCAACGCGGATTCATTCCCTGACGATGGAAAACACCGTCGTTCTTCTGTTGGTGAAGGAGGATATTTATCAGTACAACGGCTGGAGATTTCTAAAATTGCCTACGAAATTATCGAACCTTCGACAAATTCGTTCTATTCGCTCGCACGACAAAGACGTGCTGGTGGTACAGGATCAGACCGGAAAGTGGAAGTTCTTGATGCCTGCTTGGTTGGCGAAGAAAACGTGGAAATCCCTGCAGGACGAAACAGCCGCATGGTGTTCCGAGATCAAGCAAAAGGCGTCTCAGAGGACTTTGGAAAAGCTGCCAGATTTAAAGAGACCCGTGATTTTGAACGCGCACATCGGTCGGCTTCGCATGCAGAACGTAAGTCTATTGTCTCTCAGTCTTTGTTAGTTTGAATAAAAAATTTTTTCCTCTAAATCATTTAAATAAAAAATATAATTTCACATATTAAATTGATCGACAATAAAAAAAATCTGTATTTGTCGAATGTTGCCAGTTAAACGGTCATAACTCAGAGGAATTGATTCGTTTGACGGAGCGGTACAAGAGTACAATCGCCAAATTAAATCTGACGAGCAGCCTCTTGGCACAAGGGATAGACGAGAGACTTAAGCACGCGGTCTTGCACGGCAAGAAGATCACGGTCAAGTGTAAGACGAACTGTCACGTTCATCGTATAATCACGGATGGCGGAATTAATTTTGCTAAATACGTGGAATCAGATCCCAATCAGACTCAAGAGTTCGCCAAACTGAAAGTGAAGACGATAAATAATTGGAAATGCCCCGTTCCTAATTTAAAGATAGACGATATATTCGTTAAAGGAACTATTAATGGGATATCGATGCGAGACCTGCAAGAGGGAACTTTGAAAGTTTCAGGAGATCAAGTAGTTTCAGGTAATTTAATGCACTGTATTGATTTCTTCTTCATGGTATATCCTGTATTATATTATATTCATATTTATATGAATTTTAGGTAATCACATCTTCACCAACTTGCGCGTGACAAACGTTTCGATTCCGTTAGGTATCGCAACAAGTAATATTCCGAAGCGAACATTGTACATGAAAGAGGTGAAAGTAAAAGATTTACATCTAACCGAGGACGAATTCTTGTTGCCGTTAAACGGTCCCGCCACTGTGATGAACGGTTCGATAACTGCTGCGAGAGTGAGACTTACGGGCCTCGTCGACATATCAGGTGGACTAGCGGGCAAAGGACTCGAAAAATTCAAGCCTTTGAGGGAGATTCTCACGCCGTTGACGTTGCTCGGTGATCGTTTCCTGCAGAACGTGACGTTCAGAAACTTCGTCAAAGCTAAAGATATCGTCAGATCTCGCGGATCGTCGATGAAAGAAATCATAGAGAACAGCGTACCGTTAGATTCTAACGTATCGGCGCATTTGATATTATCCAGCAACAAGACAGTAATTATTTTGAAATCTGTATCTCCACGTCTGTATGCGCGCGTGACGATTTTGAATTTATTTTACATTTGCATTTTCAGCAATGGAGCAATGTGATTCTGCAGGATTTTGATACTACGAATTTGGTAACGAAGAATTCTGCTGAGACTATCGTTATTTCTGGTACAAAATACACGAATAATAATGTCACTCTGTCAAGCGTTGCCTTTGAAAATCTTCCCATTCCAAAGTACGCACAGTTTCATCGCTTTATGAAGCATCTAGAATATTCTAGATCTTTTAAAATTGTATATTTGCAGATTGACGATTCCACTGTGTGCCGAGGAAGTCATCATCCCGGACATTAGAACTTCTTCGATAAAAATGGGCGATATAATTGCAAAAAATTTAAATGTTTCGCACGTTCTTGGAGCTCATAACTTGAATACGACCATTTTCGATTCGGCGTCAGCTTTGCATAGCATTGACTTTTCAGCGAAGCTATTCACAGGCCGGGTTTTCGTGAGGAATATAACAGTGTCAGAAATTAAGGGAACAAATCTGAAAGGTATAATAAAAATAACTCAAATTGATCTCTTGTGTACCGCACACTATACTTATAATCTATATTACGTAGACTTAAAAATTGGAATGAACGAGTGGATAGGGACGAAGTATCTCGAAGGACCAGTAAACATTCCGAAGCTCGTCGTTCGCAATCTCGAAACGCCAGTCTACTTAAATCTCTCTTTACCTACGAGACTAAAAAATGTAATTATAAAAGGGGATAGCGACATCAAAAGGATTAATAACATAGATATACGATCTTTTATGGAAAATGTACTAAAGGTGGACGACCCGATATCTTTAGATCACGTAACTTTCGGTAAGCTTACATCTAATATTTCCCCATTAATTTGAAATGAGCAAGAATTTAACGTGTAACTTGTCTCTTATACAATTTTTTTTGCAGCTCGTGGTTTTACGTCAAGCAACGTACACGCTTCCCGATCGACGTTAAATCTTTCGCTTTTAGACACACATCTCAATTTGGGCTCAAAACATATTTCTACAACTCTAAGCGCAGACGCGATAGACGTGCCTCAGACGTTTGGTTACGTCGCGAGCGACGCACCGTCGACTTTTATTATACAAGGTACATACACGATGACGGAAAGTCTGCTGGTTACATTTTACGTGACGGAAAGATTTTAAACGATAAATATTTCTATTTTAGGATCAGCTAGATTTTTAAAGGAGCCAATTGTACAAAATATAAAGGACGTGAATCTGAAGCAATTATCCGAGAATTCATGGATGGCAAATGAGGACACAATTTTATCTGGTAGCAATATCTACCTTGAAAATATAACTCTGCAAGGAGACATCTTGATAAATGTAAAAATCATCAGTGATACGAAAGATATCTTACATAAGGAAGATAATGTTGATCAAGAATTTAATCATTCTTTCAGAATTCTAATAACACGTTGAATGTAAAAATGTGGACGGATCTGAGAGGCAAACTTTTAAGCAAAACGAAAGATCAGCATATTAGTGTGGTTTCGTCGTTTAAGAATGTTGAGGTGCCTAATGTCAATGCAGAAAATAATTCAACTATACAGTCTTCAGACTTGGATTTGAACAATTTGCTGACTAATTCCTTGATGAAGAATACGGCGCAAACTGTAGATGCTGCGTGGCATTTTGAAGAATTGTACATAAGTAAGGCAGTTTTAATAGAGAACAGCAATATTTTTTTTTTTTTTTTTCTTAAGAAAGATAAATTAATTATTTTCTTTTACTTAATTTAGATAATATGACTTGGGATGGTAAATTTAATGGCATCGACTTAAACACGGATGTCGTTAGGCGTGACGTAAAACGCAATTTTGTCACCGGGAAGAAAACGATATTAGGCTTGACGACTAAAAATCTTCGGGCATTAAATATAAACTTTTCGAACTTTACTAGACATGCTTTAACTCAAAGATGTTCGAAGCTGTCTATAATTAAAGGTCAAAAAATCTTTAACAACATTACTTTGAACAATTTGAGGTAATTGACGTTTCTTCCGTAATTATATTCTTATTAAATATCATTAACAACTATTCGTTTTTTTTTCTTTCTAGCGTAAAAGGTACGATTATGGGTCGCAACGTCGATAACGCATTATTGAAAATCGGAAATCAAACGCTGTTTGGCATCGACAGGATACAAGGTCAGCTTAATGCACCATCTCTTATTACCGATGGCATTGTGAACGACGTGAATCTGACGGAGTTAATAAACGCGCAAGTAAAGAAACGTAAAGCGGTGCAGACGATAGAGAATAAGATGGATTTCAGAAATGGTTTTGAAGTTATCGGAAATATCACGATCGGCGGACTTTACGGAAGTGTAAACTTAACAAATATTACCGGTCGAAATGATTTAGACATCGTCTTGGATAGAGTGACGGAAGTCATGGCGTTGACGGAAGACATAGCGACTGCATTGGAAAGTGAGTCATACATTTAGATCGGTTAAACGACGTTCACAAGAATCGATAGTGTTAATTCGACAAAATATTATTAATCGGTTTTGTTTGCAGATCGCGCTATTTATGTGAGCAAATTTGAAGCGGTGAACGAGGATGCGTTGCAAATCGCTTCCAACTCTTCCAACACAGAAAACGTGAAGGACATGAGTCTCAACAGTACCTGTCTTTGCGAGTTAAAGAACGTTTCCTCAATTTGTAACGATACGGAATTACTGAACGTTGTCGCTGGTACAAATGTCGGCGCGTTTATCACGAAGAAATTGGTGCTGCTGGATGATACCGCGTTTGTAGTATTAGTGTCGACAGATTTCATCTCGATTTACTCGTATGTCGATTCGGAACAGTTTGATCAGGTAGCAGGTGAGTCTAGCAAAAAAAATGTGTCATTTACGATCACACACTGAGAAAAAAAATTACTTAAAACAAATAAATATGTTTCAGGTACCCCTCAAAGAAATAATTTTCTTGAAGCAAGTAAAATTTTTTTATTTTAAGTAAAAGTGTTTGCACTGAGAAAAAAAAT